CATTTCCTCTTGGCATTCAACAACATGTAAATTAAAGTCCTGAGCTGTCGCCTGCACGAAACGTTAGGCCTACCCCAGGAGTCAGCATTTCTGAGACATGAAGAACTTTCTGTCACTGATGCAATCCCAGTTGCCCATTGGCAAGCTAATTAACACCTATGAGATTAGTGTCAGTCTCCAGGAAATGGGAAATAAATGTCTTCCAAAATCCTTACGGGAAACGCATTAGGAATTACATACGGGATAAAATACAGTGCATCAAAGAGGAAATGCTAAAAATAGGACAGTGGAAACATCTGCCGAATTGTGTGCGGAAATAATTAAATTGTCATTGCAAAGAGGTGTCTCATATCCGAGATAACCTTTCGGAGCCATATAAAAGATCGCTCAGCCCAGTCATCCTCAGCCGCTTGCCTTCGCTTCCAGACACTTCTCCCTGTAGTTGAAGAAGGTAAGACCAATTTTACTATTTCTGTTCATGCTGAGCGAGAAGAAACGTCCGCTAGAGGGTTTTATGGACCTGTTGGGAGCTGGGACTGAAGTGAATGCTTCTGCTTGCACCCTTGTGCGCTCTGAGGCAGTCACAGTGAATGGTGGATGGAGGGACAGGGATCACCAGGAAAGGCGCAGCAAAGGCATAGGGAGGGATCCTTGGGTGACACAAGCTCCGTGCTATTTCACAAGGGAGATGGGTTTTGGGAGCGGCTGACGGGGCTCATGGCGTTGGCTTGCAGGGACCTAGCTGCACACAGCTTGCCAGAGCAAGCCCTGCAGATTAGGCAGGGCTGCGGGTGCACTCGATCTGGATTAGGCAGGCGAAAAGAAGGAGAGAAACAGTTCACTGGGGATTGCAAGAAAAATATTCTTAAAAAAAAAAAAGGGGGAGGGAATAGAAGAAGTGAATATGGGGCTCCTCTCACTGAGTTGCTCTCTTGCTCCCGACAGCTTTGCCGATACTCCAGAAAGATGTGCTCTCGCGGGTCATGCCACAGCCACGAAACCTCCTGCCACAGCCACGAAACCTCCTGCCACAGCCACGAAACCTCCTGCCATGGATCACGGTCCTCCTGCCACGACTTGAGACCTTCCTGCCATTACACCATCCAGAGACAGACTGACCCCCCCCATGCAGTCCTACTGCCCCCCTGTGCAGCGCTACTGCCCCCCAGCCCCCTACTGCCCCCAGTACACCAAGAACATCTGCAAGCTGCCCCCAACATGCCCCAAGTACTAGCAGCAGGAGCCGGCCCCATCACCTGGACCGACTGGCTCACTGCTTGCCCAAAGCCTCATACTCCTCTCCTTGCCCATCAGTTGCCGGCCACGCTGCTTCTCTGCAAGCAAACGCTTAAATCAGCTGGAGGGTAGCGTGGTATTAGGATGAAGTCTCTTGAGTCAATGAGCTTTGAGCTGTTTATCTTCTTTCTGCCAACGCAAAGCATGCTGTCCGCTGGGAATAATTTCTTTCTTGCTTCATTCTCTAGCAAGACAATAAAAATTATATGTCAAGCCTACCTAACAGTTCTGGATGTTTTCAGTCACCGCTCCATCACATCTCCTTGTCTGGCGGCATCTGTTTTTTCTCGCGGATTTAGAGCCGTGCTTTAATCACTGGCAAAAATAGCTGAAGTAGGAGGAACGCCGAGGAAACATGAAAGGCAAGGAAAATGCCTGCGGCACCCACCAGTGATGCCAGGAGCACTGCACCGCATGCAGAGGGCTAGGAGAAACACATCGGGTTAATTCCTGGTGAAACCAAATATTTGTACTGAGCTCAGCAGATGCAACGGGGGTTTCAGAGTTACAGCCGGGGGCCTGGCCTGCACGTTCACGTTTTTACTGCGGACGCGAGCTTTAAAGCCGCTGCTATATATGGAAACAAAACAAAGCAAATCCTGCAGGGTTTTCAACCTGCCTTGGAACACCCTCAATTAAACAATTTCTGCAGCGTAAAATGAGAGGAGGTTTCCCCAGTGTGATTCATCCAACCCAGGGCAGGCATGGGAAAGAGACTGGATGAACGGAGCATTGCAAATACTTAGTAAATGACCAGTTGGTATATAAGTAACAGGAATTAGTTATTTATGGGTTACAGAGAAAATTGTCATTATAGAGGAACAGCCTGCTAAAAAGGAAAAGTTGCAAATGGGATGCAGAGACCAATTAATTACTCACCTGCATTCAAGTTGTGCCATTGCTAAGAGATGGCTCATTTTCATGCGACCCTTGGCAGCTACATTAAAAATTCTTTTCCTTATTTGTTCTTCGACTCTGCAGTTGAGTATTGAGTCAGCAGGGCTTTCTGTCCATAGGAGTGGTTTTGTCTTCGAGTATAGATGTTCACTTTCCCTTGCTGCCCCAGGTCTCCAACTTTCTAATCTGTGACTAATCACGGCACATTTTATTTCCTCTTCCTTTTCTAAGTCCCACGAATGGCATAAAGCCTCTGAACCGGTTACGCTTTCTGCTGTGCTCAAGCTTGAAGTTCCCGTTAACTTGAGGGTGAGAAATGGCAGCAATAACAGGGAAACAAGAATGAAGATTTTTTTTCTGTTCTATTCCATTCTAAGCTTTCGCCAGCCGTGGAGTGGTTTGACACCTGGAACATCAAGGACCACAGCCTTTATGAATGCTTTGCCTCATGAGAATATTTTTCTTAAAATCAGAGATCACAGACATTTAGCAAGAGAAGAAGTCCTCTGTATCTAATGCTCTAGATACAGCTTAGAAGAACATTTCTGCTCTGCTGAGTATGCGTCAAATTATGTAACAGCCGATTTCCACAACCAGGATAGACTGTGAGCAAACCCCTTCCAATAGGCCTCCTTCAGGTACTGGAAGGCCACTATAAGGTCTCCCCAAAGCCTTCTCTTTTCCAAGCTGATCAAGCCCAGCTCTCTCAGTCCGCCCTCATAGGAATGGTCTTGCAGGAATTCTGATATCGGAGCCTCCTGTCATTTCTCCGCAGGCTCAGAAATCCCCTCCTGGCCATCTCTCAGGTTGCCATGAGCCTCCTCAATTGTTAGCTGAGATGCAAGTACTCAGCTGGTGTAAATCTCTATCACTAATTAGATTATAATGTGTGTCAATGACCTGTTCTAACCCGGTCATTAGCATGAATCCAAACTCAGTAGGAAATGGAGCTTATGTTTTAATGGGCAGGAATATTGACCTTGGAAAGAGTTTGCCTGGAGAAGTGGTGACTTCATGGTCCTTTGAATTCTTCAAAGCAAGACTGAGTAGCTTTCTAAAAGTTAGGATGTAGGCACATAAAAACAGCAGCTACCCAGCAGAACCTGAGTGGAAACGGATGCTTTATGTCACCAGAAGCCAAACTGAAGCTTCTCAATGATCTGTCCCGACCTCAGAATCTGTGATTTGGATCGCACTGTGTTTCTGTATAAACACAAATAGCCTGAATCTCCTCTCCTTCACCACAGCAGACATCAGAATATCTCCAGTGAAGCTGTATGCTGTAGGGGAGAGTGGTCAAGGGTCCTTCGGTGCTCTGGTCCTGCAGATGCACAGCCCCGCAGCAGCAGGAGCAGCCCTCCTCCTCGGGGTGATCTCAGAAACGAAACATTTAGTCATGTCAGTCACAGTCCCGGGTCCCGTGAATTCCATCTGACCGGAGAGAGATATTTTTTTTAAAAGACGCAGTTTAATTTGAAATCCTAAAGATGCTCAGGGCATCCTGTGAGGCCTTCAGGTTTTCATGCAAAACAAATATTAACACCATTAATGAATAATTGCAACATGACCATTAACATCGGCATTAACAACTGCCAATGGATGACTGGGAACTGAGCATAGAATTATTCCAAAAATAACATCCGTAGGTGGATCTTTCATTACTTGAGGGCATATTAGAACTTAAAAAAATAGAATAGGAATTTTGCAGATCAAGTTATGCTAAGCAGAAACAGGATGTAAAACTTCCAGAACAGTTTTGCATTTTGCTTTTATTTAAAGATGTCAAAAGGGAATTGGAAAAATACAGACTCCGATTTGACCCAAACTCTATTCCAAATTTCCATGACGAATTTGCACAGTCCTTTGCACCTAAGATTTCTGACATTGGCAGGGCCAAGGGCATGTGTTTTCCCATGCATGGATGGGACGAGGCAGCAAGGGATGAGATGTCAAGAATTTTCTGTTACATATTGGCCCTTCTGATGACCAGAAACCTCAAAGAAAAACACCGGGCCTCACCATTTCTGCATTCAAAAGCAAAACTTGAGGCCATGGAAATACACTTGCTGAAATTCTATTTTAAAAAAATTGTGTCGAGGAGTGACTGACATCCAGAGGGCCTCTGTATTGCCTCTGGAATCCACAGCTCCTCAATCTTAATTATGATTTTTATGTCAACTGAGCACTCACTAGCTCTGAACAAGCACCTAACATCTCAATGTAACAGCGTTACCGTATGCAAAACGAGTGGAAACATACCTTTTTAAGCAGTTCACGAGCATCACACAAAAATTAACTTGACATTAAAAAATTGTTAAAAATTTACAGAACAAATTGATAATAACACAAAATTGAGGGGTTGGTCAAAAACAACGATGCAAAGACTAAATAGATGAAGGTATATTCAACAAATAAGTATAGGCTTAGCGCATAAATCACGAATTGCTGTGGGGTACCTCATTTCCTGCAGGACAATTTCGAGCTAAATAAAAGGTCTCCCCGTCCCTTTGCTCCTCACTCAACTGCACCACTCAGTTAGCACGGTAAGTGTTACCTATTAGCAGTGTCCTTGATAGCAATGGTTCTCATTTGGGTTTGGTCAAGCAGTGAGTTGAAGTGTGTCTTTGTATCTGATCTTTGCAGGGGGTTGGACTAGGTGGCCTTTAGAGGTCCCTTCCAGCACAAACTGTTCTATGATTCTATGACCTGCAGCTCTCTGAAATCCAGGTTTTCCTAGCCTGTTGGTCTATTGCTTATTGCAAAAGGCAGTTACTAGGGAGACCAGAGTGGAAAACAAGCTTCTTAGGATGGAAATTCAGGGGGCGTTCTTCATGGATGAGCACAGGAAAGTTAGTTCCCAGGATGGCTCAAAAGGTGCACCGATATCCCTGGGATAGTGACCGGTGGCTTGATTTCTGTAAGGACCTTTTTTTGCAACTCAAGACAAATAAATAGGAAGTGGTGTGTGATAGGGCTGTCACCCAAGGGCCTAGACGGCAGCATTCGTATGCCGAAATAAAGCCTATCGATGTGCTCGGAAAGATGGGTTGTGTCTGAAAGTACTCTGTGTTTCAGGTCCTCGCTCCTTCCGGCTTTGACTACGCTACGAACAACATGTGCTCTACCGGATGCTGCTCCGTCGTGAAGAGCAAGACGGTGTGCTGCAGCCAGCCATGCCAGAAGACCATCTGCTGCGACCC